ATTATACATACTTACATACATACATACTTACGTACATACTTACATACTTATATACATACTTACTTACATACATACATACTTACGTACATACATACTTACGTACATACTTACATACTTACGTACATACATACTTACATACATACTTACATACTTATGTACATACTTACTTACATACATACATACATACATACATACATACATACATACTTACATATTTACGTACATAAATACTTACATACTTCATTAATCCCCGGGGAGAAATTTGAGGCTGTAAACAGATTCTCTTCAACTGTCTGCACTTTTAAAACTTTTGCATGAAACAACAGGTAAAATTGTTGACATAATGAGCAAAAATGTATTTAAGTGTAGTTTATCTTTATTTTATACACATACTTTATGGTACGTCCTGATAATAAACAGAACTTGGAACCTGGAAACTGAGGTCTTTAGATTTTTGTTCGTTGCCATTTCTTGTGGCTGTTTTAAAACAACTGAGCCATAAACCCACATTTACGCACACACCCTCACTTTTCTAATCTGCGTGTGTTCGTGTGGTGCAGGGTCTTGAGGAAAACATGGGATACCTTGTGGGAGACTGTTTGCTAGCAGCGTCCTTCCTGTCCTACATGGGACCCTTCCTGTCTAATTACAGAGATGAGCTGCTTGCCGTCTGGAAGCAGAAGGTCCGACACGCAAACACACGCCACTGTCTTTGACACGACTTGTTCTTTCCTCTCACTTTCCTCCCCTTTTCCTACTTGTTCGTTTCCGTCAGGTTGTGGATGTTGAAATCCCATGCACACCAGGCTTCAGTTTTGCTGTTTTTCTGTCCAAACCTACAACGGTGAGAGACTGGAATATTCAAGGTTTGCCCTCTGACGCCTTTTCTACTGAGAACGGGGTGATCATCACCCGTGGAAACAGGTCAGCACACTTATCTGATTATTTCAAAGCTGTTTTGTTATTTTTAGCTGTAGCCCAATGAAAATTATGTACTGTGGGTTTGTTAAAGCTTTTTTTTTGTATGTGTGTGTGTTGTGTCCTTTCTCCTTTCTAAGGTGGCCACTGATAGTGGACCCTCAGGGTCAAGCTCTGAAATGGATCCAAAATATGGAAATGGAAAACGTATGAATGCTCTCTTTTCTTGTTTCTCTCATCAAGTCCCTTCATTCTGGTTCATTCAGGTCTTAACCCCTTCTTGTGTAGCCTTTTGATAAGACATTAGGTTGTGAGGTTCACTTGAAGAAACATTTTCTGACTGTCTTGGTGTATTACATCTATTGGTAAATTTCAAGCTGCGGTTGATCATATCAGCCTCCAGTAAATAATTTGTTTTAAAACGCCTACCGTAATTTCCAGAATATTGAGTGCACCTGAATATAAGCCACATCCACTAAATTAGAAAATAATAGTAATTTTGTACATGTATAGGCCGCGCTTGTCTATAAGTCATTACCATTAATAACTATAATATTATAATAAGGTGCTCCACCACCGCCCGCCCCGCTGTCCTCAGTTCCATTCCACCCAATCCACGGTGGTGGATTAAATAAAATAAAATTAAGAACAGAGGGGCGGGCTGTGGAGTCCACTACCACCAGCCCCGCTGTTCTTAGCCTTTTCCGTGCCGCTCGTTTCTTTCACTTTGCAGCTTAGTAATAGTTTTGGTTTTCTTGTGACTTATTTGCAGTATAACAAATGGTAGGAGCATAAATATATGCCCAATGTTTTGTTGTCCTTTTTTTTTTGTAAATAATAAATGACGTTTTTTGTAACAACAAAAAAAAATTAGCATCTTGAACTCCTATGACGTCATCAACTAGGCAATGTTGACTTTATTATGTCAATGTCAACTTTAAAAAATGTGTAGTCGTTCAACCCCTAGTCACGAGGACCCACCCCCCAAGATAGACGTGTACTGAGCAGCTATGTGAGCACTCGGGTGTGACGAGGCTAAACATTTTGGCTGCATGAAGCTCGTTAGCCCGTCAAAAAATAAGTAAATAAATAAATAAATAAAATTAGCTGCAGCATTGTTTAAACCGCGGGGTTCAAAACGTGTGAAAAAAGTAGCAGCTTATAGTCTGGAAATTACGGTAGTTCCTTTAAGGAAGTAAATGAATAATATTTAAACTGCATCAACTCTTAAGTCTTACCCTGTTGTTTTTGTGCTAGTTTAAGGATTAAATGTTATGTGTGATCGCCTGCTTTTTGTTTGCTTGTTTGTTTGTATCTTGGCTCCACTTGTTTAGGGTCTAAAGCTAATCGACTTTCAAATGCCAGACTACCTGCGGGTGCTAGAAAACGCCATCCAGTTTGGGAAACCTGTTGTGCTGCAGAACGTCCAGGAGAATTTGGACCCGTCTCTCAACCCCGTTTTCAACAAGTCCCTGACTCAGATAGGTCAGACACACGTGCACGCACCCAAATAAAAAAAAACACAAATTTAAATGCAACTTCATAAAGTTATCTGACTGAAGCTGAGTCCCTGTCCGTGTGTATTCTGTTTATTTTTTCCCAGGCGGCAGGTTGTTGTTGAAGCTGGGCGATAAGGAGGTGGAATACAACCCAGAGTTCAGGTTCTACGTCACCACCAAGTTATCAAACCCTCATTACACACCAGAGATCTCCTCGGTGACAACCATAGTCAACTTTGCTGTCAAGGAGCAGGTGTGTGTGCTGGTGAAAGAAGGTGTTTTCTGTGTGTTTTATGCTATATCCTGTCTGAAACTGTCCGTTTGTGTGCAGGGTCTGGAAGCCCAGCTGCTGGGAATTGTGGTACGTAAGGAGCGTCCGGAACTGGAACAACAGAAGGACACACTGGTCATCAGGATTGCTGATGGCAAGAAACGCCTCCAGGATCTGGAGGATGAGATTCTCAGGTCATAATCCAACCACATGATTCATACACTATGACCTGCGACTGCGCTTGTTCAAACCCAAATGCAGGCAGGACTCGAAGAACTCAGGAATGAAGCAAATGTTATTTATTAAAATAAACAAAAAGGGCTGACGTGGCAGCAAAACACACCCAAAGAGTATAACTAGGAGACACAGAGAGAAACAGACATGACGCCTTACTGGACAATCCATGGACAGGAATAATAAAGAAACGCAGAATATATAGAGACACTAACAAGAGGATAAACACAAACACCTGGGGAAGGACAACAGGTGGCAGAGGAGGGAGCTGATCATATGAGGGAGAAACACTGAGGAGGGCAGGAGAGATGACGCAAGGGTCACAAAACACACAAATCCTCTCAACCCGTTTCATTTTTATAATTTGCATCTTCCC